CGGTGGTTTTGTAAAATTCATTTATATATAATAATAAAAATGTTTTTCCTGAAAAGTGACAGAAAAGTGACAAAGCATGAAAACATATATAATTTGTGAAAAGCGACACATTATATAATGTTTTCGACCCAGAAGAAGGCTTCTTCCCAGAAGCAATGGAGGAAGAAGAAGAGTCCTCCGAATTCACACCAGAAGACTAACAATTTTCCGAATAAAAACTTCATTTATACTAAACATCTTCGGGGCTAGAGGGCACGAAGTGCCTGGAAGCCCCACTACCTTTTTTTGTGTGTAAATCGGAATGCAGATTTTAATAAAACAAATCAAAAATTAGATTAGAAACCGATTCAATAGAGTAGGGGTAATTTTAGCTAAAAGTGACACGCCTGTCAAAAGTGACACACCCGTGAAGGGTGTGATTACCGATCGGTAATTTCGACAGTTTAGAATTTAAAATTTTTTATGGAACTGTTGTGAGTTTCATAAAGAATTTAAGGAATATAAGCAAAGATTTAAAAAAAAAAGGTAGTGGGGCTTCCAGGCACTTCGTGCCCTCTAGCCCCGAAGATGTTTAGTATAAATGAAGTTTTTATTCGGAAAATTGTTAGTCTTCTGGTGTGAATTCGGAGGACTCTTCTTCTTCCTCCATTGCTTCTGGGAAGAAGCCTTCTTCTGGGTCGAAAACATTATATAATGTGTCGCTTTTCACAAATTATATATGTTTTCATGCTTTGTCACTTTTCTGTCATTTCAGGAAAAAACATTTTTATTATTATATATAAATGAATTTTACAAAACCACCGTTACCGTTCTTTGGAAATAAGTAGATGTAAAGATATTATATTGAGAGAACTTAAGAAACTACCGAATGGTCTAACATTTGTAGATTTGTTCGGTGGAAGTTTCTATATATCCCATTTGTGCCATACAATATTCCCAGACTCAAAGATTATATGCAATGACTTCGACAACTATATGACCGTCTCAAACATATTCCAACACTAACAATATATTGAAAGAGTTAAAAGAAAAGATACCTATAGGTAAGATGAACGTATACCATTAGATAAGAAAAATATTGTGAGAGAGGTTTTGAAAAAAGCAGAATATATAGACTGGGATAGTATATCTGCTAGACTATTATATAGTGGTTCTATAAGTTTCATGACATTGAAACACTTATGTCAAAAGTTTTATATCTTAACTATACAAATGTTTTCAAAGAGGACATAGAAAAATATATTGAGGGTATAGAGTTTGTGAGATGTCATTGGACAGAGTTGTATGAAAAATATAAAGACAAGGAAAATGTTTTCTTTATAGTGGACCCGCCTTTCTATAACACATGGATTTTCAATACCAAGTAGACTGGACTTTGAGAGACTCTTTAGAAACTTTAGACGTTTTACATAACCATCCATGTTTTACTTTACATCCGATAAAAGTGGTTTGGAAACCGTTATGAGATGGTTAGAGGACATACATGACTATGAGTTTAGATATGACAAGATAGAATATGAGAGAGGTCCTATAAACCGGAGAAAGTGTCATAACAAAGAAATTTTTATTAGTAAGTAAATGTGGTTTGAAATAGGACTACTTGTTTTAGGTTTTTTCCATTGTGTCATTTATTTATTTGACGTGGCAGAAAAGTACAGAGAATATGAAGATGAACCAATGCCTGCAAATGTTCAGTATATGTACTCGTAAGAGATATTTTATCTAATATTAAATGGACGCACAGAACTTAGCGAATGCACAGCAACCTGGACAACCAAACCCAGAGAATATTCCAAATGAAGTTAGAATACAAACTGCAATGGCAAACTATGGTCAAGTGCCAACAGATGTACAAATGCAAACTGCCATGTCAAATGACGCTGCGTTAGGTTTGCCACCATGGTATGCAAATATGAGATGGAAAGAGTTTTATACAAACCCTGAGGTGGATATAAACAACTTTATGCAGATGACGCGAACACAGGAGTTGACCCAGAATATGTTTTCTACCAGAGGAGAAACAGAATGTATGAGTCCAGTTAAAGAATGCTATGGAACTCAACAGGAAACGTAAAGACTAGGCGGACATTAGATTTTTACATATAGTAAAATGGGTTTCTTCAGTAAGATAGGAAACTTCTTTCGAAATGTTGGAAGAGGTATATGGAATGGAATAAAAACCGTAGGAAGAGGAATTTGGAACGGAGTCAAAAATATTGGTAAAAGAGTAGGTCAGTTTGTTGGTATTATACCTAAAGACCCTGAACCAGAAGAACAAGCTCCTGTTATACAACAGCCTGAACCTGCACCACAGTCTAGTTGGCAACCAAATCCAACACCTCAACCGTAATTAAAAAAATTATATTTTTACCGTTCGATAGTAGTTGTATATGAAACTAAGTTCTAAGTAAAACGCATGGTATAATGGAATTATTCTTTTTCTTCCATCTGTAGTAAACCATACTTGAAAGTCTGAAATACTTCCACTTGGTGTTCGTATAACTTTGTAGGTTTTTCGTAAAAGTCATTTGCCAAGCATAAGAAAGAGTTTTGGGCGCCAGAAAATGAAAGCATGAACAATAATAGCAGCTGGGTCGAAAACATTTTCATATGTTCCATTAGGGTTTTCGACTTCATAAAAGTCTGGGTGTACTGGATATGCTGCAGGCTGATTTAACATCCTCAAATCTATACCATGCCAAGTTGTTATATTTTGTAGAAATATAAACGTTTTCTCCAAGGTCTTCTATTCTATTGATTTTAACAGTTGCATTTTTCCTGTCATAAATAATATCGAGATGGTATTCTCCTTCGTCAATGTTATACTGTTTTGCATATTCGATATAGATATCGTTTATTTTTTCTTGAAAAGCTTGAAGAGTTGTTTCTAAGTTTACAAGCAAACTAACTTGTAGTTAGTATACAAGTCTTGGGTATGATGGCACTGCGTTCCACTTTACCCAATACTTGTGAATTTGACACTTTACAAAACCGTTAACGTATATTTTACAACACAAACGACAACACTAACTTAACCTTAAATATTTACAAAGCCGCCAACCACTTCACTTCACTAACGAACTCACTAATGTAAAAATAAACGTTCTCACTATCGTTCTCACTAACGACTTCACTAATGTTCTCATAAATTTTCCTCAATATCTTCATCATCAGTGTTAACCCTATTGTAGTCATACTTGAAGCCATAAACTTTCTCTAACTTCTTAACGTACAATTTACATAACTTACCTTCGTCATCGTATGGTAGTTAGTATGGCTATGTTGGGTATGATGGCACTGCGTTCCACTTTACCCAATACTTGTGAATTTGACACTTTACAAAACCGTTAACGTATATTTTACAACACAAACGACAACACTAACTTAACCTTAAATATTTACAAAACCGTTAACGTATATTTTACAACACAAACGACAACACTAACTTAACCTTAAATATTTACAAAGCCGCCAACCACTTCACTTCACTAACGAACTCACTAATGTAAAAATAAACGTTCTCCAACTATCGTTCTCACTAACGACTTCACTAATGTTCTCATAAATTTTCCTCAATATCTTCATCATCAGTGTTAACCCTATTGTAGTCATACTTGAAGCCATAAACTTTCTCTAACTTCTTAACGTACAATTTACATAACTTACCTTCGTCATCGTATGGTTTAATGATAATATAACTATTTCTATCTTTATAAACAGTCAATGAAAAGTCAACTGGTCTCGGATGTATTTGAAAGAACATGTTATGCTCAGGAAGGAAGAATAAATGTTTAAATGTATGTTTGTTATATGTTTTTGATTTGTATGAGTTGCTTTTGTTCTGTCATTACATCCAAATAAATAAAAATAAAATAAAAAATAAAACTTAAAAATTAATGATATCACCACCCGCACACGTATGAAAACATAGCACAAAAATAATGTTTATGTTAGAAGGTTAGATCTAACCCGATATCTAACTCTTTCTAACCTGTTGAATTCATTGCTTTATAACTCTCTTCCTTTCTCCAACTCTTCTAACTTCTTCTTAAGTTCAGCAATGTTGGCCTCATGAAGTTTAATCTTTCTCAAAATTCCTTCTCTATCTAATGGTTGCTTTATCTTTCTAAACTGAACTCTACCATCCTTCATAGTATGAACGTAAAACCTTCTGGAATAATTCCTGATTTAATGTATTCTACCAAAACTTTTGTTTCATTGCTTCAGTGACTTTAGTCGTCATTTTACTCTAAGGTGAAGCTAGCACAGCGATAATGGATTTCATGACTTTTAGTATTTCATACAATCTTAACAGATAGCCTTAACAAGTACTTCCAGTGTCCCTAGCTGTCCCTCCTTTTTATATAACTCCATGACATTTATAATCTCGCGAAACTTAACAGGTAGCATAACAGATTAAAATTAGATGAGGTTTGAACCAAAATTTCTAAGCAACGTTGTCAAGGATTTTGAGGAACTAGGGACAGAGTGTGGCAAAGTCCAAGATTTAATTTATTCTTCATCTGTTTCATCAACTATCTCATCTAATATGCCAATATTTTATTCATAACTCGTGGCAAACTCACTAACTTTCGTTATGTTCATTTGCATGCTTCATCTGATAGAAAGTATGACTTTCATTAACTCTGTGAGATAATGAAAACTACTAGGGACAGAGACCAATGGCAAAGTTTATGACTTTCATTATTTCCAGAACTTAATGAAAACTACTAGGGACAGAGACCATGGCAAAGTTCATGATTTAATTTATTCTCTCACTACAACAACAAACACAAACTCCAACACTAACACCAAGTACTAACTTCAGCACAAATGACAAACACTAACAACAAGTACTAACTCCAACACTAACAACAAAAATAAATGTCCTCACTTCTTAACAAAGTAATATGTGCTTCTTACACCACCATAGCTCAACGTTTCTTTTCAAACATCGATTGAAACTTATTTTGAGCCATTGGCTTTTAGTCTCTTTTTCTTCAAATACGCAAGAAATCTTCTTCACATCTTTTCACTTCATAGCCTTCTTTAAACTCCTCCTTGTTAAGTTCTATGAAATCCTTTATCTCATTCTTTGTTGCAACGGCTTCTTCACGAACGACATCGTGAACTATTTCATCATTGCATTCATGTATGACCTCCTCACTGTTCTCATGAACTATTTCAACACTGTTCTCATGTATGACCTCCTCACTGTTCTCATGAACTATTTCAACACTGTTCTCATGTATGACCTCCTCACTGTCTTTCATAAGCGTTTCAAAGTCTCCTTTACTCATTACTTCAATCTCATGCTGTTCACAGTAGTACTTAAACTCACTGTATATGTCTTTGTTGTATGTTATATTGCTTCCCATGTACTCCATGAATTTTTCAAGCACTTCCTCATAATTCACTGTTTCTTTCTTTCCACGACCTTCTAATATCATACTTGCTTCGTAAATATAACTTCTTGCAGAACCGTCTCGCTTTCTACTTCTTTTCACAAATTCTCTCATCTTGCCGCCAAATACATTTGAACTACATGCAAAGAATTCATTCTCCTTCGCAAATTCTTTATATCTTCTGTAGCACTCTGTACAATTCCATCCGGATACAAACTTTTCATAGAACTCCTCGTAAAACATTTGGTAAGGTGTTTTGTTCATTTCGATGAGTTCTTGTTTAGCCCTGGTGAATGGTATCTTCCTTACATCAAATTCACTTAAATCTTTCCTCATGAAATACGTCAGTAAGTTTGAATAAAACTCTTCATTAAAGCTTTCAATGAGATTTGAGAAATATTCGTAATTTCCTTTGTATCTGCTGCTTACGTCAATGACAACAAATCTTCTGTCGTCTTTGTCAATCTTTACTGAGTTGAAGTTGTTAGATATCATGATGATATTACAAACATTCTCTATCTTTCTTACTGGCTGACACTTCTGATTTAAGTCCAACTGAGTCTCTGTTACTATTGACTTTAGTGCGTCGTGGTTCATGACCTTAGACGTATCGCATGAGCTTAGTTCATTGCATACGATGAGCTTCATGTTCTCAATAGCAGCATTGAATCTACCAACCACATTCTCTATTGCCGTTATATTATTGTTGGCGTACTTGCTAATGAGCTCGCATAGAACATTACTAAGTACATTCTTACCAGTTCCTTGCTTTCCTATTAACAAAAGTACTGTTCCAGTCTTTCCACAAGGATTTTGAACGATGTAGGCGAACCAGTTCAAAACATACTCATAAAGCTCTTCATCCTCATTACATATGACATCGTGAACATGTTTCAAATATCCTTCAATAACGCTTTCATCTACTTCATTCAGTACCTCATACTCATATCCTCTGAAATAGCTGTAAATGTCATCTCTTTCGTCAAAGAATCTCATGCCTGACTTCATAAGATAGTTCTTGTTCTGACCCGCTTCATAAATCATCAGTGCGTTCACATCCTTCTCCTCAATACGTCCTACATAAACACTCTTCATGAGCTTATTGAATTCCTTGCTATCTACTGACACAAGTGTTGTTGTGTCTCGTATTCCATCATAATCTTTCACTAGATATGTCATACGTGCTCCGTCAATAACGACAACACATCTTCTTAAGTCATTTATAACACTAGCTATGTCAATACCTTCTTCACTCATGTACTTATTTCTTCTCAAGTCCTTTAGTGTGAAAGTGTCTCTAAGTTCTATTTCAAGCAATTCATTTACACATCCTTTGCAATACTTCTCTATAAAATATTTCTGTCGTTCTTTACTAAGTTTTTAACAGCTCTGAAGAACCATGTGTTTTGACTCAAACATCCTTCACAACTTCTCTCATTCATTCCTAGTTCTTTCATGTCATTATCTTCAACCTCTATGGTCTCATTGACTAAGGTCAAAGGGTTCTTAGTCATTGCTGGTCTTATCTGAAACAATGTTTGTGCAACAGGTTTAACTAGTTCAGCAACGTCCTTCCTTAATATGAATAGCTGTTTCCACTCATCTTTGCTAACAGTTCTTTCATAACCACTGACAGTAATGATTTCATTTGCTGACCTTAGACACTTATGTTCTATCATTTGTATTGCTTTTGTGTAAGGCTTTCGTGAGCATAGGTTGTATATGTCATTCCTGCAATGTTCATTCATGCCAATAGTACTAAATCCTTTCTTTGCTGTTGAGTGCATAATATCCATTAGTTCCTGTGTTCGTATTGCTGTCTCATAAAATACAACAAGACCTTTGTCATCTATGACGTACTTACCGAAAACATTGCTTATATTCTTTAACCATGAAATAACATCCTCATTCATGCTGTCAAACATGAAGTAAGGTCTTACATACTCTTCACTTATAAGATACTCCACAAAGTACTTGTTAAGCTCTATGTCCTCGTGAGCGATTTCATTAGGTTTGATATTAGTTCCTTTTGTCATTGCTGTCATGTACTTCACTCTCATAGTTCCTTTCAATAGCGTAAAAGTACTTCATTGTTTCATAACTGCTCTAAATTCTGTTCAAAATTCGTACAACATAACTTTTTAACATTAGTGAAAGAACATGAGCGAAACAACAACATCTAACATTACAGAAGAAGTCAATGACAATGCCGATGAAAACATTACAGAAGGAGCTAGTGAAAATATTGACGAGTTCAGTGAGGAAGAAGATATTGAGGACGTCAATGAGAACGTTAGTGGGGAACAAACTCAATGGGAAACATTGAGAAATCATGAAGATTATGAGATTTGTACGACATATCCTTTTACTATTCGTCGAAAGAAAAACAAACATATTAAGAGTGAATGCTTAAATAATCATGGTTATATTGAGCTTAGTTTAAACAACAAAAACATTTAAAGCATAGAATTATTGCAGAACAGTGGATTGAAAATCCAAACAATTTGAAAGAAATAGACCATATAAATCATGATAGAACGGACAACAGAATCTCAAACCTTCGTTGGTGTTCTAAATCTGAAAACAATAGAAATAAAAGCAAGTATGGCGATATAGTTTATGAGTTCGTTGATGAAATATCTGACGAAGCTGTTGAAATAACAGATTATGGTAAGCATTCGTTTGAGTTCTACTACTATGTTGAGAATGAGGACGCATTCTATTATTATACAGGTCCTAACTATCGAAAACTTCATATAAACTTTACAAAAACAGGTGCTGCTTATGTTTGTATGATAGATACAGAAAACAAGAGAGTAATCTTATGCATAAACAAATTCAAACGCTTGTACGGCTTCATGTAGGACAAACATTATTTTTCAACACTAACGCCAACACGTAGGACAAACATTCATGACTAACATTACTGTATAACATAAATGTTTTGTCATGATTTCTTCATCGTAATGAACGTTTATGCTTTGTCAAACATGAACGTTTATGCTTTGTCGAAACTTCTTCATCGTAATGAACGTTTATGCTTTGTCAAACATGAACGTTTATGCTTTGTCGAAACTTCTTCATCGTAATGAGTGTAAATGATCCAAAAATAATGTTTAGGTGAGATCTCACCTCTTTTCTCACCTCATGAATTTTCATGATTTCTTCATCGTAATGAGCGTATATGCTTTGTCAAATATGAACGTTTATGCTTTGTCATGATTTCTTCATCGTAATGAGTGTACATGTTTTGTCGAAACTTCTTCATCGTAATGAGCGTATATGCTTTGTCAAACATGAACGTTTATGCTTTGTCGAAACTTCTTCATCGTAATGAGTGTAAATGATCCAAAAATAATGTTTAGGTGAGATCTCACCTCTTTTCTCACCTCTTTTCTCACCTCATGAATTTTCATGATTTCTTCATCGTAATGAGTGTAAATGACCCAAAATATATTTTAGGGTAGAAGGGTAGATCTAACCTCATTTCTACCCTCTTTTCTCACCTCATTGAATTTTCATGATTTCTTCATTGTAATGAACGTTTATGCTTTGTCGAAACTTCTTCATCGTAATGAACGTTTATGCTTTGTCAAACATGAACGTTTATGCTTTGTCAAACATGAACGTTTATGCTTTGTCATGATTTCTTCATCGTAATGAGTGTAAATGATCCAAAAATAATGTTTATGTTAGAATGTTAGATCTAACACCTTTTCTAACATGTTTTCTACCCTCTTGAATTTTCGTACGGAATCTCTTCTCTCGGTTTTCCGAGGGAAGCAATCATATGAGGAAATTCTTCTAAAATTTCTTTTATCTGTTGGTTTTCAAACCAATGATATGCTTGCTTTGTAGAACGAAGAGTATTATAAGGCATTTTGTGAAGAATATAACAACCGTCTGAATTCAGGCGGTTGCTTTTTATACAAAATTCACGCAGGAAAATTCTTGAGTTTTGGTTGAAAGAATACGGTGGAGCCAAAAGTGGCTCGACCTCAAAACAAACATTTATGAGCTTACTAAGGGTGTTATGAATGAATTCAAAGGTATTTGCATACATCCTGACCTTGTTCATTTTGTTGCTGAATTCAGCAAAAATAATGTTTAGGGTAGATGGTTTTTAGGTGTCACTACGTCACCATGTGCTACCAGGTTAATTAACTTCTCTTAAAATTACTGACAACATGACATTTAGACAACAGTCCAGGAAATAAACTTCATCGTATATGTTTTGTCAAGGTTTCTTCGTAAATGTTTTGTCAAGGTTTCTTCGTAAATGTTTTGTCATGATTTCATCGTAATGAGTGTAAATGACCCAAAAATAATGTTTACGTTAATGGTTTTCAGGTTATTCAATAATTAATTATTTTTGAAGAACTGAAGGTGTCACTACGTCACCATGTGTCACTCGGTTAATTAACTTCTCTGAAAAAGTGTGACAACATGACATTTTGACAACACAGCAGGGGAAGGCAGTTATGAATTATTTTTGAAGAACTGAAGGTGCTACCATGTTACCATGTGCTACCAGGTTAATGAACTTCTCTGAAAAAATGTGACAACATGACATTTTGACAACACAGCAGGGGAAGGCAGTTATGAATTATTTTTGAAGAACTGAAGGTGTCACTACGTCACCATGTGTCACTCGGTTAATTAACTTCTCTGAAAAAAATGAGACAACATGACATTTTGACAACAACACAGGAAATAAATGTTTACGTAAATGTTTTGTCAAACTTCTTCGTAAATGTTTTGTCATGATTTCATCGTAATGAGCGTAAATGACCCAAAAATAATGTTTAGGTGAAGAGGTGAGATCTCACCTCTTTTCTCACCTCTTTTCTCACCTCATTGAATTTTCATGATTTCTTCGTATATGTTTTGTCATGACTTCTTCGTATATGTTTTGTCAAACATGAACGTAAATGATTTGTCGAAACTTCTTCATCGTAATGAACGTATATGTTTTGTCATGA